AGAGCACCGCACCGTGCACGCCCCGCTGCCCGGCGGGCGAGAGGCCCGGACGGCCCAGGCCACACAGCTCGTCCCGGACTTGGCTAAGTGCTGGGCGGACTGTCGAGGCCAACAAGGAAGGAAACTTAGAACCAAGCCTGGCTCCTGGTGGCATTTCAGGAGATACAGTAGTGCATGGGGCGGGGGTCCCAGGACCCCGCCCTCCCTGCCTGCACAGGCCCTGACTCACGAGGGCCTCCTGCTTCTAGGGGGCCGAGTGAAGACCTGGAAGCGCCGGTGGTTCATCCTGACCGACAACTGTCTCTACTACTTCGAGTACACGACGGTGAGTAAGGGGCGGGTCGCCGGGTCCCCGCCTCAGAGGGGCCTTGGATCGCTGACCCATGGGAGGCTGGCTGTGCGCCCTTCTGTCATAGGATAAGGAGCCCAGGGGAATCATCCCACTGGAGAACCTCAGCATCAGGGAGGTGGAGGACCCACGGAAGCCCGTAAGCTGCCTTTCCCTCGCCACCTCGTCTCCCGCCCGCAGCCCAGACGCCCTAGCGGGAGCGTGAAGTGGGTAAAAGACCCTCCCCCGGCCCTCGGTGACAGCCCCTCTTCCTCCGCCACCAGAACTGCTTCGAGCTTTATAACCCCAGCCACAAAGGGCAGGTCATCAAAGCCTGCAAGACGGAGGCCGACGGCCGGGTGGTGGAGGGCAACCACGTGGTGTACCGGATCTCCGCGCCCAGCCCCGAGGAGAAGGACGAGTGGGTGAAGTCCATCCGGTGAGCCGGGGCCCCGGATTCGTGCCGGGCGGAGCCTGTCGGGAACCAGTATGGTCACTGATGAGAAGCTGTGGTCCTTATTACGACTGCGAGATGCTTCTCAGCTGTAGCCATTAGGAGACTGAAGAGGCGTGGAAGTTACACAGAGCCAGCCGGCGAGCTCGCGGGGTCGTGGGGGAGAGCGAGCGCACGCACGGCCTTGGGTGCTCTCGTTGGGGTCAAGGGCAGGGGCCTAGGGTTTTGAGCGTGCTCTTTTTATCGGTGAATTTAAAACTCTCGTAAGAACAAGAGTTTAAAGCGTAGAAAGAGGAAACCAGCAAGTAGCCCAAACGGTCAGCTGTCAAAATCAGCCGAGCGCTAAAACGAGGGAGCGGGCTGGCCGTCTGCTCGCGCGGCCGGCATCCGAGGCGCCGTCCTTGGAGCACGCGGCTCGGCAGCCGAGGTGAAGGTCGGCACCTGCATTCTGGTCAGTGCGCGCGTCTGCGCTCTCCGTGTGCAGGAACTGACCCCTCTGTCTCCAGACCCCTGGGAGGGAGGCCCGCCCCTGAGCCCACTGTTTCCTTTTCTTCCCAGAGCGAGCATCAGTAGAGATCCTTTCTACGACATGCTGGCCACGAGGAAGAGGAGGATCGCCAATAAAAAATAGAGCTTTCCCGGCCTGAACAGGTAAAAGTAAAACCAAACCCCACAGCAGAAAGTGACTGAGAGGCGCCCCCATGACACCCTGGACCCCAGGAGGCAGTGTCCTGTGCGAGCCCAGGGTTCTCCGGTGCCTCTGTGCGCCGGGTATGGTGAGCGACACCGAGCACCCCCTCCTGCCGACCCTCCCGGCCCGCAGCAGCGACGTCCACCAGCGTCCTCCCAGGGCTGCCTGGGAGCTTCGCCACGACAGCCCGTGCCGCACGCGGCCCGGGTCGGCCACAGAGCCCCGCTCATGCCACACGTGCTCCGTGGCGGTGTTCACTTCTAGAAGCCACCATTTCATATCAAAACAGGAGAGAAAAACTACAATTTTTCATTTAGCTTTTTTCTCAAACATATAGTATAGCTTTTATATGCCTTTTTATATTCCGAAGTTATAACGAAAGATACTTTAATAGTGGTATTTTTAGACTGGCAGCTATAAATTTAACTCCTGGACACAAGTACATCCTGTGTCCTATACAAGGCCACGTACACATGCATGTGTGCGGCGGGCTGCAGGGGCCTTGCGTGGCGCCTGTGCAGGACCTGCCTGTAGTGCTGGCCTGTTCCGAGCGCCGCTAGTCTGTGGGGTGCCCTCACCCCTCCCGATGGAGAGAGGTGGCCCATATCCCTGAGGACAGCGAGCCCTGGGCAGGGCTCCACATGTCCGGGTCCCCTGGGACCTCTCTCCAGCTCAGACTTGGCAGCCCCACAGATACTTTCTGAAAACGCTGCTCAGTAAAACGTAAAGCATGGTTTGGGGGCGTTTGTCCTGTACCTGCAGGATCCAGCACAGTCCGTGCGACCCCACACGCAGCAGTTTCACGTGGTTCAATGGAACACGTGGTTCAGACCCGTTTTTGACCATCGTCTTCACTATTTGAAGCATTGTGGCAAAGTGCCTTTATCACTGACCTGATCATTTGACCAGATTCCTTAATAGAATGAGTAGACACGTCAGCGATCTCATTCCGCGTTGTCAGAGATTTCAGCTCCCGGGAGGCGGGGAGGAAGCTGTGGGAGGGAGGCGCCTGGCACTTTGGGTTTTCTGTGAGCAGTGTCAAGCCCCAGCTCCACACGGGTGGTGGCGGAGGCCCGCGGCCAGGTCGCCGTAGACTTGACAGGTGCTCAGCAGTGCGTTTGCTGAAGGACGTCTGGGCCCCACACGTGTGCGAGGGGGTGACAGAGGCCGTGTGCCAGGACGCGACGCCTGTGGCTGGCACTTCAGGACGG